ACACACACACACACACACACACACACACACACACACACACACAGAGCTTTAGTACTGCCCTGAAGGGCATGCAAAGGATGACACAGCTCCTGGGGATTGTCAGTGCTCAACAATTCAACAATAGCACCCAAGCCACTGGACAAGTGCTCAAATGAGTGTGGACTAACACATCGCAGCACTTGAAATAGTCACCACAGGAACAGTTAGTATGGTGAGGACTGTGAGTCAGAGGATCAGGCTCCTTAGTTTACATAAAATGATTAACAGTGGCATTTTTTTAAAAGTTTTTTTCTTTTTACTACAAGTATGTACTAATAATAATTTTTTAAAGGTTTTTTTTAGCTGTGTGTAGTGGCACACACTTGTAAACCCAGCTACTCTATAGGCTAACCAGGAAGATTGTGAGATCAAGGATAGCATGGCCTATACAGCAAGATTTTGTCTCAATTTTAAGACGTTTGGTAGCAGCTTTATTGACTTGTTGTACAATCCATCCATTTAAAACATGTGATTCAGTGGTTTTCAGTACATTCAATTGTGCAACCATCATGACAGTCAATTTTGGAACATTTTCTTTGCCTCAAAAATGAATCCCTATATCCTTTAGCTATCGTCCAGTACTCCTTTGCCTACCCCATAGCACCTGGAGTCCTAAACAACTACTGATCTGCATTCCATGTCTCTATATTTGCCTATACTGAACACGTCACATAAATGGAATCTTATAATATGTGGCCTTTGTTACTAGCTTCTTTTAATCACCATAATGTTTCAAAATAGTAGCATCACTTTAATTTTTAAAATTCTCATTATGTAATAATGTATATTCTAACTTTTCCACTTTTTTTCTACACAAAGTAATTTACCAAGGTGTCAAAGAAAAACCAGAGCTGGACAATAAAGTTGGAAAAACATTTTACTTAGGAACTATTGCAATAGAGAAAGAAAGACCTCAGTATAGACCTGAGCTTAATTCCAAATTCAACAAGGAAAAATGGGAATTTACAGCCAAGGAGCAAGGTGGGAGCCAGTAAGTGGAAAATTACTAACAGGAAACATCAGGAGATTCTAGTTTAATGATCTTGATAGGATTCTTGCTTAAAGGCAGATCAGGGTGATCAGATGTATCACCAGGGGGCTGATGGGAGATGAGAAATCTGATACGCCATGGAGGGTTATTAGATGCCAAGGCTGGAGGATTCTGTCCAAACTGACTTAGAAGGATTCCCCTTCTTAGCAAGCCTTGCCCACTTAGCTAGCTTTCATCCCATGGGTCAATGATTCAATATGGGAATTGTGCCCAACCACCAGGTGTATCTATTTCAATCACACATCTGAGGATTGGAGAGATGACTACTAGAAGAGTATATAGATGCTCTGGATCCATTGGGAGTAGATCTGGGAAAGGGTATCATTTGTTACTTGGTCTCTATGGGCCTCCATTCTAACAGTGGAAACATGAAGATGCTTCACCTCTAAGAACATCAGTGTTAATTGGAACCCTCTGTTCAATAGTCATTGAAATATTCAAGTGTTCAGTACTCCTTTTCATAGGTTGCAGAAAATGGCTGTGGATCTCTTTGGGAAAGAACATGGGGGAACATTACTATGTACATTTGCTGAGACCTTGCAGGGTCCTTCCTCCTGGGGAAACAAACTGTTCTAAAATCAGTAGGCTATGAATCTGAAAACTGGTTCAATTCCAAAAGCTGGGCAAGGGTAATGACCTGTTATTTGGGTGACTCCACTCAGGCCTGTTGCTGTAGTTTCAGCATTGTAGGTCCTCCAAAAGTCCACGTAGTAAAGACTTAGTCCCTGGTGCAGTGTCTTTGGGAGGTGGTAGAAACCTTTGGGAGGTGAGTCCTGGTGTGGAGGTCTTAGGTCACTGGGCCATGGCCCTGAAGGGGACTGCAGGATTCCTCACCCTTTTTCCTCTTTTTCTTCCCAGTGAACAGTTTGCTCTGCCATGCACTCCCCATCTGTGGCATGCAGCATGCCCATCTGAGGCCCAAAGTAAAGACTCTACCTGGTCTTGTACAGGTCCCTCTAAACTGTGATCCAAAATAAACATTTTCACTTTATGAGCTAATTATCTCAAGTATTTTGTCTTAGTAAAGGAAAGCTAACACATTCCTGATCACACATCCTTGATTTCTTTTGATGATATGGACTGACTATAGTTTGGCTGCCCGTTTATTTTAGAGTAGGGGCATTGTATTGGTTAGGGACCCCATCGAAACTCAAGTCCGCCTCTGGAGAAAGATCAATGTGCCTACTTCAGAGAGAGACAACTGGGAGTGTCCAAAGTTAAATAAATTTAAAAAAAAAAGATGGCTGAAAACCCTGAAGAACAAGAACCCACTTCCTCTGTCTTCGCTGTGGGAAAGAATTCTCTGTTTGAAGACTCAGGCGGACTGGGCTCCCAAGCCTCATCAGGGCCCATGGTCCAAGTAAAAGTTGAGGGTAGAGGAAGTGAACCTGTAGAATTCCTGATACTGGAGTGGACCACTCAGTTGCAACAGTCCCTACTGGGCCCCTCAGCCATCAGGAATTGAACTCAGGACCTTGCGCCTGCAAGGCAGGCATGGTGCCGCTGAGCTAAATCCCTGGCCCCAGGTCTATCAGTTCTTATAAATGCCTGACAGTCCACTTCCCTTCTTAGGGAGGGATTTGTAGGCCAAGTTAAGAGTTAAAATTGATTTTAGGGATGGGGAAATACACTTTGAATGGCCAGCTCTACGGTTGATCCTGGTCCTGATTGTCCCCTGGAAAGAAAAATG